GAAAGATGTGGACTGGTGCCGGTAGATACGTTGATAAAAAAGTGCTGTGAAATCCCTGAACAAATTTCACACACAAATTAACTCGGTTTTTCAGAATAATGGACAAGAGCCGTGATAACTGACAGGAAGCAAACACAGATAGATTAATTAGGTGCACTTGTGTGTACAGACGACTACGGAGATCTTATTGCGATCACAGAAACAGTGATAAATGTTTCTCAATTTGCAGAATATACAAGTCAGTGACCGTCACTCACGGTCCCTCACTCCTGCCGTCACTCACGGCCCTCACTTCTGCCGTCACTCACGGCCCTCACTACTGCCGTCACTCATGGCCCTCACTCCTGCCGTCACTCACGGCCCTCACGGCCCTCACTCCTGCCGTCACTCACGGCCCTCACTTCTGCCGTCACTCACGGCCCTCACTCCTGCCGTCACTCACGGCCCTCACTCATGCCGTCACTCACGGCCCTCACTCATGCCGTCACTCACGGCCCTCACTCATGCCGTCACTCACGGTCCTCACTCATGCCGTCACTCACGACCCTCACTCGTGCCGTGTAAATGTTATCGTCATCTACACCGACATCATGAATCAAAACATCTCTCGAAATAAAATGATCTCCAGTGTTTTTGTCAGTATCATTTCTCCGGTGATAATTGACGTATATTGCATCGTGCAATTTGCGACGACAATTCATTGTTGGCAAAGGAGGCGAAGCGTCGCACAAGACCCAGTCTTCACCGGAAGCATTTGTCTCGGGGTCTGATCGCTCCTCTCCAACACATAATTTCCCTAAATTGATACCTTTAAAAGGGAAAGTGCGAAGGTCGATTTAGGATTGAGGTTAGACCCCGCGGGCGGCCAGGGGGAGGGTGGCACTGTTGTCTGGGAACACGAGGCAGGTGGTCCAGGTGTTTCCTGCCCACGCCAGCACCTGCGACAGCTTCTGGTGTCACCTGCTGAGTCACTGTGCTGACGCAAGTGTGTGCACACGAAAGGGCAGAAGACCACGATGTCTGGAGGCCAGCGATGGCCAACCAAAGCCAATACACTGGAAGATTTTGTCTTTTGTTGAAAAGTCTCTTGGTCAAGGTTAACAGAGATACACAAGGCTCCTAGTGGTAAAGTCTGAAGGCTCCTTGCAAGAGAGTCTGGTGGGTCCTAGATGAAGGGGTGCCAAGGCTCCTAGCGGTAAAGTCTGAAGGCTCCTTGCAGGAGAGTCTGGTTGGTCCTAGATGAAGGGGTGCCAAGGCTCCTAGTGGTAAAGTCTGAAGGCTCCTTGCAGGAGAGTCTGGTTGGTCCTAGATGAAGGGGTGCCAAGGCTCCTAGCGGTAAAGTCTGAAGGCTCCTAACAGGAGAGTCTGGTGGGTCCTAGATGAAGGGGTGCCAAGGCTCCTAGCAAGAAAATCTCAAGGCTCCGAGCGGCGAGTGATTCTTAAGGCCCCTAACGAGAGCATCAAGGCTTCTAGCGGGAGAGTTTCAAGCCTCCTAGCGAAAGAGTATTAAGACTCTTAGCTGGAGAGTGCCAAGAATGCTGGCGGAAGAATCTGAAGGCTCCATGCGGGAGTCTTAAGGCTCCTAGCTGGTGAATGGAGAGGCTCATTAGTAATGTAGAGGAGGAATATGAAGATTAAAGTAGACCATTGTATACTGTCACCTGATGAATGTTTTGATGGAGTACAGCAAACCGTTGACTACGAGGCTTGTGATGAGTGAGTCAAGGTAAACCGAGGGATACTCCGGGCATCTTGGGAAAGTGTGTAGATCAAGGTAAACCAAGAGGAGCGCAACCTCCTTCATGAGCTGCCGCTGGACCTTTCACTTGCATGAAACGGAAAAAAGGGGGCCACTGGTACTGGTTTTTGCTTGTGAAGTCATTCCCAACAGCTGAAAGTGACTGATAATGCGCTTCCTCCTGTGCCTATCCCCCCCCCCACGTCCCATGCGCTCTATCCCCTCCACCCTCCACCGTGCGCTCTATCCCCCCCCCCTCCACCGTGCGCTTACCCAATACCCTCCACATCATTCTTTTCGCTCATGCGTTCTCACCCTCCCCCCGCCTCCCTCTATAATTGCGTTTCTCCCAGTGCGCAACCCCCCCCCCCTTCGTAGTGTTTCCTCTGTGTTTCCCTTGTGCTTCCTCCAGTTTCGAAACTATTCGTTTCCATCTCTAGATATAACTGGAACATGCGCACAGTGTTCCTAAGGACAACATAGGAACACGAAAAGAAAGAGGAGACTGCACAAGACCTATTGGCCCATGCGACTAGGATCCTATATATACATATCCTACTGGAACCATTCAAATGTTTGTCTAACCTACGCTTGAAACAACACAGGGACTCCACGTCTCTCATGGCACCTGGTAACGTGTGCCATAAATTAGCAATTCGATATCCACAGTAGTTACCATGTATATCTTCTGAATCTAAAGTTATCCCATTGATATCCGTTGTTACGTGCTACACTTTGGGTCTATATATTGGAAAACCCCGGTCATTAATATGTACTTGAATGATGTCATTCCTTACTTTGTACCTTTCTAGAATATGTAAATGAACTATACTATACTACACTACACCACACTACACTACACCACACCACACCACACTACACTACACTACACCACACCACACCACACTACACTACACTACACTACACTACACTACACTACACTACACCACACTACACTACACTACACTACACTACACTACACCACACTACACTACACTATACCACACTACACCACACTACACTACAGCACACTACACTACAACACACTACACTACACCACACTACACCACACTACACTACAGCACACTACACTACAACACACTACACTACACCACACTACACCACACTACACTACAGCACACTACACTACAACACACTACACTACAACACACTACACTACACCACACTACACCACACTACACTACACTACACTACACTACAGCACACTACACTACACCACACTACACTACACCACACTACACTACAGCACACTACACTACAACACACTACACTACACTACACTACACTACACTACACCACACTACACTACACTACACCACACTACACCACACTACACTACAGCACACTACACTACAACACACTACACTACACTACACTACACTACACTACACCACACCACACTACACTACACTACACTACACTACACTACACCACACTACACTACACTACACTACACTACACCACACTACACTACACTATACCACACTACACCACACTACACTACAGCACACTACACTACAACACACTACACTACACCACACTACACCACACTACACTACAGCACACTACACTACAACACACTACACTACACCACACTACACTACAGCACACTACACTACAACACACTACACTACACCACACTACACCACACTACACTACACTACACTACAGCACACTACACTACACCACACTACACTACACTACACCACACTACACCACACTACACTACAGCACACTACACTACACTACACTACACTACACTACACTACACTACACCACACTACACTACACCACACTACACTACACTACACTACACTACACCACACTACACTACACTATACCACACTACACCACACTACACTACAGCACACTACACTACAGCACACTACACTACAACACACTACACTACAACACACTACACTACACCACACTACACTACAGCACACTACACTACAGCACACTACACTACACTACACCACACTACACTACACTACACCACACTACACTACACTATACCACACTACACCACACTACACTACAGCACACTACACTACAACACACTACACTACACCACACTACACTACACCACACTACACTACACTATACCACACTACACCACACTACACTACACTATACCACTACACCACACTACACTACAGCACACTACACTACACTACACTACACCACACTACACTACACCACACTACACTACACTATACCACACTACACCACACTACACTACAGCACACTACACTACACCACACTACACTACAACACACTACACTACACCACACTACACTACAGCACACTACACTACAACACACTACAACACACTACACTACACCACACTACACTACAGCACACTACACTACAACACACTACACTACACCACACTGTAAATGAACCTTTTTCAACCGCTCTTCATATGAATGTTACCAATGTCCGGGATTACCATTGTCATCCTCCTTTGTACGCTTTTACAGAATTTATGAGCCTTTCGGTGCTCATTATATATTATAATGTATATTATAATGTTATAATATTATAATGTTTCAACTGAAACATTATTGAATCTGCTTCAATACAAATTACAAAGCCATACAGTATTAACATTAGCAATAGTTTGCACAATTTGTATACTTTTTAATTGATCAATTAAAAAAACTGAGTAAGATCATTAGTAGTAGTAGCAGGCATGGTACTACTTAAGATCAATATTATGGAGAGTATTAATACACAGTTATCTCATCATTGATATCTCAGTGTATTGTTCCTTCCTGGAGCTCACATGTATTGGTCAATGATCTTCTGTAGTGTCCTCTTGTTCTTATGTTCATGAGGCAAGGGGAAGGGAACTATCAGGGGAAAGCGCCAAGCCATTACGACTATATAGCACTGGCAAGGGGTCAAGATAAGGATCTGGGATGGGACGAGGGAAGGAATGGTGCCCAACCACTTGGACGGTCAGGGATTGAACGCCGACCTGCATTGACAAAAGACATTGTTATTCACTTCACCTTGTTTTCCTCCCTGTCTGTATTACACCACTCATGACTTGTAACAGCCATCCTTCTGAAGTGTACTGAGTAATACGAAAGTACTCAAGGAATTTCCTGTCTCATGTTTTCCTTGATGGTCAGATATTATTCATCACGTGTTAATCTCTCCGTGATTTGCACACATGTATATTAATTATTAACACCAATTTAAATAATAAGGAAAAGGGCAGTGTTGAACATACCTGTGTGACCCAGTCTTGTAAAGTGATGGAGTCATCATCGCTGACGATGGGTTGGTCGGGGTCGAGAAGGATGGCCAGACTGCAGTAGATGGCCAGACCTGCCACCCACACCCTCCAGCCTGCACGCCTCAGTCCTGCACCCTCCACGCCTGTCCTCACTCGCATCGCCAGCTTCTCCATTCTCAATGTCATATCACTACTTCTTTGAGCTCCTCTCTGTCCTCCACCATTCTCGCGAGTCCTAGCAAACATGGCCGGTCGTAGCTGGGCAGTACTTGGCAAGTTCATGTTTCAAAGTCCAGTTTGGAAGCATTTCTCCCAGGAGTGCCTTAACATGTGCTGCTGGCAACCCTGCTTGTATGTGGTGTTAGTCTATAACACAAGAGTCGCAAATGGTCTTCTGGTATATAAATATTAACACGCTTTAATTAGAAGAATGTTCAAAAAGAATATTTTTATATTTCGTATGTTGCATGTATTCTATATTATTTGTTGTTATTGTAAATAATTACTTTATTTTCTGTCTCAGCCATAGAGCGTATTGGGACGTAATACATTTCACTATTGCAAAAAGTTGTAAAATTTAAAAACCTTACATAGTCATTTCAGAGATAAATATTTTCAAAAGGACATGTTAGAATTAAGATTTGGGACCTGGAGCGAGTCATCGCAATGTGTATAGGCCTAGCATTATTTATTGTGTGTTGCCTCCATTGTCAGCGTGACCCAGGGAGCTCTACCAAAAGTTAATGGTAAGACGTGCTCCATATTCCTCATGTTCCTAAGACGTACAACATACCAAGTGTGGAAGTAATACAAAAAACACCCAAGTAAATATGAGAGTTATCCATCCACCGCACCACAGAGAACGTGTCGCGCCAGACCTGATCACAGATGGTCATCAGTGGCATCTTGGCGACTTGTGTCCCTGTGAATACTTCACTTTAAGAAACACTTTTATTTGATTTTATTCGACACACAAATAATCAGTGAAATGTTTGAGAGCAAATTATAGATTACAGAGGATGTGAGTAAATATATCAGCTGTTTTCAAATAAGTCTTACATGACTCTGGCTTTATATATATATATATATATATATATATATATATATATATATATATATATATATATATATATATATATATATATATATATAAGTTCATTGTGTCGGGGACAGGGAGTCAGTGTGTATATACATGCTAGGCTCACATCGTGGTCCCCCTCAAGATCAAACACTACTGACCTGCCAGGATGTAAGCCCACAACACGCTGACTAACTCCTGGGTACCTACGCGCTGGTAAGTGAACAGGTGCATTAGTTAATATGAAACGCGCCCAACCATTTCTGTCCCGCCCGGGATTCGAACCCCAGAATTCCCGATTGTGAGTCGAGAAGGAACCCGACTGTACTCCTGGGACCGAATTAAGTAGTCGTGTATGAGTTATTTTATGTAATATTGTTGTTAAATAGTGGCATAAAGCCTTGTTACAGGGACCCGTACACCAAGAGGTATGTATGTCGGTGTGTATACGGAGTTTACTAAAGTCTTATGTTCAAGTCTAAAGTATACATACTGGCTGATCAGTATGTATTAATACAAGAACATTAGTATCAATATTGAAGGCCTATATCGACCTCTGGTAATCTGAGATCTAAGTCGGGTTTATCTTCTGGGAGTCACAAACAACAGGAAGAGTGGGTGGAGCTGGTAGGAACTGGAACACTAATGTGATGTGGGGCGGGGGAGGGGCGCTGCTCCCCATAGGGGGGGGGGCGGGCAGCATGTTGCCTGCTGGGGGGGGGGGAGCAGTGTGTTGCCTGCGGGGTAGTGTAGGGGCGGGGGGGGGGAGCATCTGGTTATTGACGGGGAATGTGAGTGGGCATCTGGTTAGTTCTCCTCCACACCCGGCACGTCAACCCTCTCCCAAAGCCTTTCACCAATCAACTCCTGATCGAGAGGCGTGACAGAGGCGTGTGTTATCTGAGTGGGCTGATGGCAGAGGTGATCATGCCCTCTACACCAGGTGCTCCTCTCAGCCGCCCTATGTGAACCCCGCCAGGAGGACGCCTCAACCACTCCCAACCTCTCCTCACGCTAGACTCGTTAAAGCGGCGTCCGGCCCAACTGATGACTGATGACTCACAACTGATGACGTTCGAACACTTCCGGAACAAGTGCTTCACTGACGATTTTTGTTGGAACCACAACGCTGTAAATGCTTCACCCACGTACTACAAATACAAATAATCGCAAACCTAAACACCTAACCTAACCTATGCCTATATATGTACAATATGCTAATATATTATAATATTAATTTATATTTGGGAAAATTCCTGTTTAGAATGAACAGCATGTAAAATTTTATGAATGCGTCTGTGGGGTCGACCGCTGGATGGAATGGACTTGAGTCGAGGACGGGCTGGAAACCTCTGGTAACTGCTTGGGCCCTGGACCAGGAGTCGTCAGGGATTTACACATCCAGTTCCGAAACCTTTACATCTTTCAGCAACCATGGTGACTTTGGTTACATATAGTAAGCAGCTTATGAACTGTGAAGCCCCAGGAGGCGGCCTATAACAATAATATCCCAGGGTAACTAGTTGAACACATCTTGAGTTGCCTTTTTTGCTTTTTGTCCGTTTATTTCTTACTACTACAGTTACAGTGCTGACTGTATGTGTACCTTTGTAATGTCCTTAATGGACAGTGTTTGAGAGCTGGTTACAGACAGTGTAGGTGGTTAAACTGTAGGGGTTACACTGTAGGGGGTTACAGTGTAGTGGGTTACAGTGTAGTGGGTTACTGTGTTGTGGGTTACAGTGTAGTGGGTTACAGTGTAGTGGGTTACAGTGTTGTGGGTTACATACGGGTTGTGTGACAGTGAGGGAGAGTGGGGGTGACTGGGCCACCAGTGGACAATATCCACCACCCGCCGCCGCACCGCCAGACAATATCGTTGCCGCTACATACATCAACAGGACTGGACATATCACCAGAATGATCACAATCCTTAAAGTTAACGATATTTAATATCGAGAGGGGGGGAGGGGGGGCTGGAGAAGGGGGTGAGTGAATGTATGCGGGTGCAGATGTGTGTCCGCGAGGGGTCGCTGCCACACACGCGCACACACACCCGGTGAACGACCCCTTCACCCTCACCTTCAGAGCAGCACAAGCCTCGCCACGCCCGCACTCCCGCCCCCGCCTCAGCCCTCGACGCACCGCACTTCACTTCACTAACATCATGTGGGGTCCAAGTGGCACTTGGGAGGTGGCTGGAGGTGCAGGAGAGCCACTGAGAGATAATGTGTAGAGACAAGATGCAAGAACACCGGCCACAAGGGCAACACTGCCGCCTGGCTGCCTCTGGCCCGTCACGGTTGCCACTCCACACACGCCATAACACTTACTGCCTCCCGTTACTGCCTTTAATCATTATTGCTTCTAAACTAATCGTTTTGTTGTCTGTACAGGAGACTAAGAAGCAGTTGTGTAAGTATATAACAAATACTGTTATGTAGAATATTCCCTGAAAATTAATTGCAATTCCACTACATAGCAAATCTGTCAACATCTGTACTTAACGGGATGTTGGTGTTCGTATTTTACGAAGCAAGACGCAAGTCTCTGCCGTAAACGGACTACAATTTATATCCAATATCTTACACTTACGAAGAGGAGTAAACCTTTGCTATCATACTGACAGTTTTGTTTCTGTGGCAACTCATTATTTCGTTGGAGATATATTACAGTACAGAGATCATGTCCTACTATCCTGTTGAAATCTCCACACAAGAGCCTATCATATTAGGGGGTTTGTTTATGGGAAGCAAATAAGGGGTTAGGATCGTCTCGCTTTGAAGAAGTCAACGCAATTAATTTAAACAATGATTAAACATTACCCCCATGGAGCCTGACACGCAGCGATGCTACCCAACGCTGGTGCTGGAGCAGGACCTTCAAGGGTTGAGTGTGTGAGGTGATGAAGAGCGCTGAGGGTGAGGTCAGGGCGCTGAGGGTGACGTCAGGGCGCCGAGGGTGAGGTCAGGTCGCCGAGGGTGAGGTCAGGGCGCTGAGGGTGAGGCCAGGGCGCTGAGGGTGAGGTCAGGGCGCTGAGGGTGAGGTCAGGGCGCTGAAGGTGAGGTCAGGGCGCTGAGGGTGAGGCCAGGGCGCTGAGGGTGAGGTCAGGGCGCTGAGGGTGAGGCCAGGGCGCTGAGGGTGAGGTCTGGGCGCTGAGGGTGAGGTCAGGGCACTGAGGGTGACGTCAGGGCGCTGAGGGTGAGGTCAGGGCGCTGAGGGTGAGGTCAGGGCGCTGAGGGTGAGGTCAGGGCGCTGAGGGTGAGGTCAGGGGGCTGAGGGTGAGGTCAGGGCGCTGAGGGTGAGGTCAGGGGGCTGAGGGTGAGGTCAGGGCGCTGAGGGTGAGGTCAGGGCGCTGAGGGTGAGGTCAGGGCGCTGAGGGTGACGTCAGGGCGCTGAGGGTGAGGTCAGGGCGCTGAGGGTGACGTCAGGGCGCTGAGGGTGACGTCAGGGGGCTGAGGGTGAGGTCAGGGCGCTGAGGGTGAGGTCAGGGGGCTGAGGGTGAGGTCAGGGCGCTGAGGGTGAGGTCAGGGGGCTGAGGGTGAGGTCAGGGCGCTGAGGGTGAGGTCAGGGCGCTGAGGGTGAGGTCAGGGCGCTGAGGGTGACGTCAGGGCGCTGAGAGTGAGGTCAGGGCGCTGAGGGTGACGTCAGGGCGCTGAGGGTGACGTCAGGGCGCTGAGGGTGAGGTCAGGGCGCTGAGGGTGAGGTCAGGGCGCTGAGGGTGAGGTCAGGGCGCTGAGGGTGAGGTCAGGGCGCTGAGGGTGACGTCAGGGCGCTGAGGGTGACGTCAGGGCGCTGAGGGTGACGTCAGGGCGCCGAGGGTGACGTCAGGGCGCTGAGGGTGAGGTCAGGGCGCTGAGGGTGACGTCAGGGCGCTGAGGGTGACGTCAGGGCGCTTAGGGTGAGGTCAGGGCGCTGAGGGTGACGTCAGGGCGCCTGGGGCAAGACCAGTTCCCTCCACTTCACATACACAATTTTAGTAATTTTTAGGTTTTATTGATTTCTTATATATATTCTTTACTTGAGAAGGAAGTTGGAAAATTGACTGTTAAAAGTTAATGTCAGTTGACTGTTAATGTAATGTCAGTATTTCATATAACCAGATTCAATTATTTCTACACACATCTAGATCATTACCAGAGATTTCCTGACCAATAACACCAAGATAATCGAGATGCAACAAATAATATTAACGGACTAATAACAGCCAACTCACCCTCTTGGCCCACGAGAGACGTCGCTTAACCTCGTCCTACTTGGTATATGTTCAGTTTCTCAAGCTAACTCGTAAACACTTTACCTCCGCTTTTGACAATGTTGACAGCGTCAACGACAAGCATATGTTAACACGAGGGTTACTACTACTAAGACAGGCAAATTAATTTTGGAGAGTTAGTTTTCAACTTCCATCCCAAGTGAAGAATTTGAGAACTATTGAGAAGATTCGGGCGAACATCATTGTTCTAACCCTTGCTGTTATATTCAGTAAAACACACACACACACACACACACACACACACACACACACACACACACACACACACACACACACACACACACACACACACACACACACACACACACACACACACACACACACACACACACACACACACACACACACACACACACACACACACACACACACACACACACACACACACACACAGGTGTGTGTGTGTGTGTACATTCTAAGACACACATAAATAGGATAACTACAGCAGCGTACTCGACGCTGGCAAAAGTTTAACATCATTCAGAAACCTCCATAACAGGTGTGTATGTTATATACAGTTTACAGTACAATAAAAATGTTAATATTTGTTTTCAAATCAAATTACATTGCAACCAATTTTGTTATTAAATGTTTAAAAATTGTTTTATAAATCAGAAATCAGGATAAATATCTCTCGATTCCAATACCGATTCCTATTAATCGTTGAATCACTAATATAAATATATATAAATTCACTGAGATATTACTTTAATCATATACACCGATTGGGATTAGTGTTTGCCTGCCTGCAGATTAGAAACAAGATTGTAGTCTTAAAACACGCTCCTCACCCAACATTCAACTTGACAAACATCAGAATCTTTATTTCTGCCTTTTTTATTTGATTTTATCTGATGACCGATTATCGTCAGTTCCATTTACATATTTTGCATTTTTTTCGGAAGAATATGCAGTTAGGTATTGTTTTGACTAATAGAAAAGTCTACCCTGAAACAATCTTAGTTCACTCGTTTGACTGAAAAATTAACGCGCATATATATATATATATATATATATATATATATATATATATATATATGTGTGTGTGTGTGTGTGTGTGTGTGTGTGTGTGTGTGTGTGTGTGTGTGTGTGTGTGTGTGTGTGTGTGTGTGTGTGTGTGTGTGTGTGGAGAGAGGTTGGCCAGTCACCTTTCACTGATTTTGTTGGGGGTTCATTATTCGAGCTTACTCGTCTTAATAGGACCGACCCCGACCACACTGTGCTTGTCCCGTACCCCAGACCATTCCCCATGCAAAGTTAGGTGAGACTAGCCCCAAACGTTCGACCAGTACAAAATAATATGTACTAGTGGGTAAGTCAGCTATTATGGCGACCTTAATTACCCTCAATTTTTTTATCAAGACATTTAGATACATGTGGATATGTGCAGCTGCCCCAGACTATATGAAGGGGAGTACAGCCGTGTGTCAAGAAGCCCATCACATGCCTCTGTATGACTAACCATCCTGTGTGATGGGGATTTTTTAGCATCACCTAGTTAGCTTTTTTGACACACTGTACTCCACTTCATATAGTCTAGGGTAGCTACACTAATGCACATATACCTCGTGTATTAATAAAAAAAAAAGTGTGTCAAGAACTAAGTACACAGGATGGTTAGTCATACTAAGGCACGTGATCAGTAGCCTGCACTGGCAAACTCTGGGCGCATTATGAGGATATCATCAAGAATACAAGAGGGAATAATGCAGCAGTGGTACTAAGTCCCCATCTCGCACGATGGTTATTTTTTTTATTAATGTATGAGGTACATCTGCATTAGTGCAGCTACCCTAGACTATATGAAGTGTGTACAGTGTGTCAAAAAAGCTAACTAGGTGATGCTAAAAAATCCCCATCACACAGGATGATTAGTCATACAGAGGCATGTGATGGGCAGTCTGCACTGGCAGACTCCAGAAGCGTTTTGAGGATATCATCAACACAAGATTGAATAAGGCAGCAGTGGTAATACAAGTCCCCATCTCGCAGGATGGTTAGTCATACAGAGGCATGTGATGGGCAGTCTGCACTGACAGACTCCAGAAGCGTTTTGACGATATCATCAACACAAGATTGAATAAGGCAGCAGTGGTAATACAAGTCCCCATCTCGCAGGATGATTAGTCATACAGAGGCATGTGATGGGCAGTCTGCACTGGCAGACTCCAGAAGCGTTTTGACGATATCATCAACACAAGATTGAATAAGGCAGCAGTGGTAATACAAGTCCCCATCTCGCAGGATGGTTAGTCATACAGGGCCATGTGTTTAGTAGCCTGCACTGGCAAATTTTGGGTACACTGTGAGGATATCTTCAAGAACACGAGAGTGAATAAAGTAATTGCAGAGCTCCAGGTACCTCATGCCAACTGGTCTGAAAGGTCGCCATACAGAGGCGACCTCAACTCTACGGGATTTGAATACATATTATACGCTGACAGCTACTGTGACATCACGACCTTTGAACCAACAGGCTGGCGAATGCATCTAATAAGATCTTGAGTCATACAATGAAACCTGAGGTCAGTGAGTAATGGAAGACATCGTCGGCTCATTAACAAGAGTAATTAGTTGAGCGTAAGGCGCCCCTGTGTTACTTTAGTGTTTTCTTAAGGCCTTATTAACCGGTTATTAACACCACCACAAGTACTTACAGACCAACCAGCCTGTATACTTCTAGTCCTGAACATAACCCGGGACTAAAGTGAACTCGGTGTATAGACACCAAAAGTGGTATACACCTCTGGCTGTATATATGTCCATTTGGGTCTTATGAAGTGTGAGAGGAATATATAATGTTATATTTTTTTTAATTGGAAGCGATTACTTGTACAAGTTCTCCGAAAGTGTCACTAAGAACATGCATGAATGTTGCACTTTGTGCGGTCGCCAGAGTGAAAGTGAAAGTCTCGCTCTCATAAGACCAGTTTGTGAGGCGAAAGTCGTCACCGAAGCTCTCAAACGGTGCTCAGTAAACCCACAGGTTTACCGTGATGGTG